GGGGGGCTCAGATATCAACACAAAGAAGGAGCCATTGCAGCCGGAGTCACTGTTCTGAGGAGGAGGAGGACCGAGCTATCCTAGCAGTTGGCGGCCAAACAAGTCACGGCCTTTAGCCACCATGATAAACTGATGCATTTGCATGCAGAAAATAATGCAAGATTTATTGGATCCATAACATTTCGGGAGCGCTCATCAGTTGCAGCCATTCCGAAGCGTTGAAGAGTAACGAATGAGAAAAAAAATACGAAATTGAATTGGTACAGAAAGGTCACAGGTCATAGTCACTAAGGCTAGTTTGTAAAGTAAGAAGGTTAAAACAAAATGGAAGGAGAAACAGAGGAAAATGTGTTACGGGAAAAAAGAGGAGACAGGGGAATGTGTAAATCTGGGAGCCTGTTGTTACCAAGGCAAGGCTAGGTTAACCACATGCTCCAACTGTTTGCATAGGTAAGGCTTAGTGCGATAAATTTACAATGGAACTAAAACGAGATAACCGACTTTCTTTCCTCGACGTCCATTTGTCCAGACTGACAGATGGCTCCATTTCACGGACGGTCTTCCACAAGAATATCTGAAAAGGTCAGTACTTACATTATCTAAGTTTTGTTCCCATTCAATAAAAACGTAACTTGGTATGTACCCTTTTTCAGAGGACTAGAAAAATCTGTTCTGTGGATATTTTGGACGCAGAATTAAGCTGTCTCAAAGATACCTTACTGAAGCGTGGAGATTCACCTCAGTTTATAGAAAAATATAGTAAACCCTTGCGACCGAAGCTGAGTGAACTTTTAGCTCCAGAAAGCCAGTATTTGTATCCTTGCCCTTTAATGGTGATAACATGTTAAACACTATCAAGAGACGCCTACTCAAGGCCATAGAAAAAACCTATTACGCCGTTGAGCTCATATTCTGCTCTCCAACTAAGCCCCTTCCAATTCCTTGTGCTAAGGATGCCTTACCTTTGCACGCCACCTCCAATTGCGTTTATGAATTCACATGCACTTGCGGGTGCAAGTACATAGGACGAACGCAAAGGCAACTGGCAGCCAGAGCCAAGGAACACCTGCTTAGTTGGTTATTCAAGCAGGAAAACCGATCCCCTCGTTCCTCCATTACGGAACACTTGCTGGAAACGGGTCATTCTGTGGACCCTATAACCCCAGTCCACGTTCTTGTTCGAGTACGAACATCTCAGATCTTGATAAGACGCTCTAAACCTGACCTGTGCAAACAGTTGCAGCATGTGGTTAACCTAGCCTTGCCTTGGTAACAACAGGCTCCCAGATTTACACATTCCCCTGTCTCCTCTTTTTTCCCGTAACACATTTTCCTCTGTTTCTCCTTCCATTTTGTTTTAACCTTCTTACTTTATCAATCAGCCTTAGTGACTATGACCTGTGACCTTTCTGTACCAATTCAATTTCGTATCTTTCTCATTCGC